ACCGTAGTATACGCTGCCTGGTCGTTATTCTTAGCCAAGATTGCTGGATGGGACCGCGTGGGTTTCTCCGTAAGCCTTTCGGGACGTACCATACCGTGGCCGGCGGTGCAGGATGTCGTAGGGGCTCTCGCGACTCGTGCTCCTTTCAGCGCTACTATTCCAGCTCAAAAAACTGTATACGAGTGGCTGGTCGAAATGCACCAGACGACCCTTGATATCCTCGAATTCGACGGTCTCATGCATTCCTTGCCGGAATATTTGATGCAGGACCGACGTATCAAATCCACTAACGTGCTCTGCGTCCTCGACATGCCTCAGTCGTCAACGAATTGGAGTTACAAGGACATGCAGGAGCATCATTTCATGATGTCGTGGTACGTTTCGCAGGATGGCCAAGGGCTAAAGACCGAAATTGATATCCAGTTGGGGCAAATCGATCAGGGCTGGGCAGAGGCGGCGAAAACCATTCCAGGGAAGATGTTGGGTGGGCTGGTCAAAGCTACCAAGGAGACTTTGGTGGAAGATTTGCTAAGATAAACACAGTAAACACAGCAATGACTTTTTCCACGAGGATAAAACCCCGCAATCAAGTTAGTAGTGTAGAATAATATATTCTACCCTTAGACTGGAGTAAGGATGGTTGAGCTTTCTGAGAAGGTTGAACTTTGCATTCCAAAACTACGGACAGGTCACGTGTATCTGAGGGAAGTCTCCACCCGAGCACCACAATAAGTATGAACCTAGGTAGAGAGAGTATCACAGTTGAATTATTCGAGAAGTGAGAATAGAAGAAGAGTAAAAAGAATAAGTAAAAAGAAAAGAAAGAGAAAAAAAAGAAAGCCCGACGCGGGGCTCGAACCCGCAGCCTTGTGATGGCAAACTCGTATAAGTTATAAGAGTCACACGCTCTACCGATTGAGCTAGCCAGGCTTATTTGATGTTAGGTGGGAGACCCTCGGTTTCTTTTCACTACTACCCGAAACCCTACCTAGAATACTCTCGTAACAGAAAGGAAACAAATCTCAACATGCGATATGAAGAGCTACACGACACCAATTGTCTTCTCGTCTTGAGGAATCACACCAGTACAGCTGCCGCCATGAGAGGTCGCACCCTGTGACTTGGCTCTTGCATGATTTAGCGCCTCTCTCTTACTCTGATACCCCCGTTTCAGCTCTCATCCATGCCTAGACTCAGCCCGCACCGCACACCTTCAGCGGCGTTTCCTTCTGGGGATGGCGCCTCGGTCTCGACAGCCAGAGTTCCCCAGCTTCTACCGTCCTATACCCCCCAGCAGAGGACCCAGAACCAGCAGCAGGTGACGCCTGGCCGCGAACAGTCGGCCGATAGCGAAGATGAGCTCGAGGACGACGAAGAGGGTGAACAGGACGAGGAAGATGAAGAAGATGAGGAGGAAGACGGAGAAGAGGAAGAGGAAGCAGAGGATCTAGAAGCTATCGAAGGCCAAAGCTACGAAGATGGTAGGCATTTATGTTGAGTTCCTCTATAACCTCATGCTAACCCTGCATTTTATTACCGAAACAGACGACCTGGAGGAAGAAAAAGACTCTTCAGCTCCAATACCGCCCAATCTCCGTGAGATATCGTCACTCGCATCATGGACCGTCTCAACATATAAACCCGGAAGCGGCGTGGCTGCCCTCCGCAACCCATCTCCGAACCAGTTCTGGCAGTCGGACGGACCCCAGCCACATACTTTAGCACTACACTTCTTCAAACGCGTAGCCATAGTGCTGATACGCGTCTACCTGGACTTTGAACTTGACGAGAGCTACACACCCACCAAGATGGTATTCTTAGCCGGCATGGGAGGGAATGACCTGGTCGAATTCGCTACTTGGCAGGGAGACACACCCTGTGGCTGGGTGGATATCAAGCTTGACGGGGTCGGAGGCAGGCATCAGAAGATAGACAAACTGTCACGAAAGGATGAGGAACGTCGGCGGAGACGACAGTCGCGGAGCCCCGAGTCTCGTGCTCGTCCTGTGAACGGGGAGCAAGCATCTGCTGCCAGCCAGCGGAAGAAGTCCAACGGCGCTTCGAAGATAAATCCCTCAGGCAAAGGGGGAGATACTGATAATAACGAATCTGAATCTGGAGAGGATGGTGATGATTACGAATTTGATGAACTAGATGAACTTGACGATGACGACGATGACCCGTCTGCAGGCAACGTCTTGAAGGCAATGGTACTACAAGTGAAGGTGTGCGAGAACCACCAGAACGGCAAAGACACGCACGTTCGTGGGTTCCAGGTGTTTGCTCGAGATGATAAATACTATACCCGTATGGGCAGGGCAGATAACGGGCAAAAGTTGCTCCACCATGACCTTGGGGCTGGTATGTTGCAGTCCGATGATGGCGAGCAGGAGGGCGAGAATGCTCCGGCGTTCGACGAGGAAGACTGGATGATGGAACCAGAGTTGCGATGAAAGATGAGTGCTGATGAATTATTATCGTGTTCCTACACTTTTATACGCACTGATGATGACGATGTTATAATATTGATACCCCCCTTTCTTCAATAGCGCTAAATGCATAGCCTAGCGAACGAGCTAATTGACTATACATGTTCCTTTCGTCTCTTATCGTCGGAGAGGAGAGAGAGAAACTGATCTATTCACAGTGTTCATCATGCATAAAATATGTCCGAAATACCCTCAATCAAGGTCAAACGCCACAATAACGTGTGCTCTCACCTACTCCGTTACCATCATTATCTCTATGCCGTGCCAGCCTCCCCCTGACACCTCCCTCTATTTTGAATAACACCAGAACCTCGCATCTACGAGAGAAGCTTCTCGACCTCTGCCGCAATTGCGTTTCCAACCTCGCTCGTTGTGGCTTTCCCACCGATATCACCAGTCTTGACGCCGGATTCGATTATATTCCGTACCGCCGTTTCAATTATTTTAGCCTCGGTGGGAAGGTTGAGGGAGTACTGCAGCATCATGGCCACAGAGAGGATTGTAGCGACTGGATTTACAATCCCCTTGCCAGCGATGTCGGGTGCGGAGCCTACAACGGATATCATTAGCAAGGGTCGCCTAGTGGAAAGGCCGTTAACGGGAAGAAGCATGCATACCATGGATAGGCTCGTATATTCCATTAACCTTGGTCTTGCCGTCTGGGATGCCGTTCAAACTGGCACTTGGTAATAGCCCTAGGGATCCAGGGATAACACTGGCCTCGTCACTGATGATATCGCCAAATAAATTGCTGGTGACGACAATTCCGTTAAGAGCACGAGGGTTCTTCACCATCAACATGGCCGCACTATCGATTAAATGATGGCCATATTTAACCTGTGGGAACTCCTTGTCCATGATTTCTGTCACAACTTTTCTCCACAAGCGACTCGTGGCCAGTACATTCGCCTTGTCTAAACTCCATACTGGCAGTGGTGGATCATGCTGCAGCGCAAGGTGTGCGGCGAGGCGAGTTATTCGCTCGATCTCAGCACGTGAATAGGGCTCTGTGTCATAAGCCGTTCCGTCACCGTTATCTTCTCGCCGTTCGCCAAAGTAGATTCCTCCCGTGAGCTCGCGGATGATGTTGAAGTCGACGTCGCGGCATACCTCGGCCTTGAGAGGAGAGATGTCGACCAACGAAGGAGCAGCGAAGTTGCATGGACGCAGGATGCCGAATGTTTCCATTTCCTTTCGTAGGCGGAGAATGCCTTGCTCTGGACGAACTGCTCCGGTACCCCATTTGGGGCCTCCAACGGCTCCGAGGATCACGGCATCCGCACTTTTAGCAGCGTTAAGAGCCTGGTCTGTAAGGGCCGAACCAGTTGCATCAATTGAAGCCTATAAGGGATAAAACAGCTTGTTAGCGCATGTTCAAGCTCACGGCTCTTTTGATATGAAGACTCACTCCACCTAGCAAATGATCCTGGAAGGTAAACTGTATCTCAGGTCTCTTTTTCTCGATAACTTTCAACACCTATTTACCACCATCAGCAACCCTGTCGCTAGTCTACTCCAAGCATGGAATGTGCTCTAGACCAAGAATAGGCTGTCAGACCTTGATACCCTCTGCCGTGACCTATGCAAATTCAATAAACCGTTAGCAACTGGCAAGCTCAATTGTACCAGTGGGGTTAACTGACCTCTGGCCCGCAGCAATCCCCTGCAAAGACGACGATATTATATTTGCCCATGGTGACGCAGTAGATATTAGTTTATGGGCACACGCCTTGCAGTTAAAGAAACACGAGTGATAGGTCGTATGTTATAGGAAGAAGCCTGGTATAAAAAGCTCTTGACTTGCCTTGACTCTTTATATTTCCGCCCGATGTTTTTGTTTCCAGCCCACCTCGGCCCGATTTCGGCGTTAATCTCTCCGATCATCGGCTTTGAGTCACGTGAATTCTGCTTAAAGTGATGAGTAATAAACACTCGCTTTCATTTTATTCCGGTATTTTATAATACCACAGTGTATTCAGTAATGTTCATTATGAAGTTTTTATTGGTTGATCTGTGTATCTTTGTTATGGATTATACGTGCTGAGTCATTCGTCCCAACTAGGAAAATGGCATGAAGTTCTTCTTCTTCTTCTTCTTCTTCTTCTTCTTCTCATGTCTTTTTCTCTCTAGCCAGAAGAGTAGGCTAGAGGAATATATGAATATGACAGAGAAACAGACACTATTGGATAGTTCAAAGGCTTTCAACCTGAGAAAAACGGGCATGCAATTGAAATTATGGTTGGATTGGTTAATATAAGTATACTACACTGCGACAGATCAACAGACAGAAAACACACACCGTCCAACCAGACTATCAAAACCTGATTATCTATTGCAAGGTTCTAGGATAACTCGATCTGAAAATGTCTGCCGCTGTTCGCAAGCGAGCATCTCTTGCTGATCAGTCTCGTTCCAAATCTATCCAAAAATGTGGCCACACTTGAATATAAACGAAGTCGGATAATTCAATCCCAGCAAACGCCGTAACCTCGTGTTAAAGAATCGCCTTGAAAACTGGCTCTCGCCGCATCAGCTTAGTTGTATATGAATCTACCGTTTCTTATTTCATATTAGACCAGACTCGGTAACAATTTTCTCCTTCGACTTCACGCCCTAGGATGCGTTTCACCGCTACTGTTGGGACCGCTCTCGGCCTTTCCGCTACAATCGTCCTTGGTGAACAAGTACGGCGTAACTCTGTCCAACTAACCTTGCTCGCAGATGTGCCCTAGCTCTCTATTGCATATACATACCTTGCTTATTAGCTTGGGGTTTTATACATGTACATGCTAACACGCCCTCTTCTATAAGTAGATGATTTCCCGACACCTTACCAGGGCCAGGCTAGAGCAGTTGAATATCGAGACAACGCATGTGCACATCTCAACGGGATCCAAGTCCTGTATTCACTCAACGCTATAGTCCAGAGTTGAAGCCAGCAGAAGCCAACTTTTGGATACATAAATATAGCTCTGTTAAAAACGCTACACCTGATGAGTGTGTGTGTTTTGAGAGAGTCTTCATCCATCTGCCAAACTTAACTCGCCATCAGCATCTAAGCATGGATATTATGCTATGCTGTAACTCTGTACTGGTCATAAAGATAGGCAACCTGGTTGTGCTGGGCCTGCTATCCGATGCGTAGGAGATGCGCCGGACTTCTCATTTCCAATTAGAAGCTTCGTTTGTCACCATCGTGGGCAATAGTTTCGGAGCTTATACATTCATGTATATATGCAAAAAATGACGAAACGAGGTGGCACCGGGGGTTTAGAGGTTCATCGGGAGTATATCTTGCCCACTTCAATATTATAGAGAAATATGCTCCTTTGGATGGGATACGGAGTATACAATTCGACATTCAATGCATGCCTCTCCGCCTTTAACCACTTGACAATGTATGACCATATATTCTAGAAGAAAAATCCTAGCACGGAGTAG